GACAGATAAAAAGGAGAAGACTGAAAAAGAAATAAAAAAAAAATAGGTCCCAAAGTTGAAAAAAACATGTAAAAAGTCTTTGGTGTAATTTTAAGAAATAAAGTTAGTTAACAGATACCAATAATTGGTGGCTGATTTCTTACGGCCACTGATATCAGTGGCATCCCACTGTAAAGCCACCAAAAAATAGTAAGAGTCGCAACTTTATATCTATGGCCACCAAATACAAAGGGTGTGCAAAAAATGGTGTGCAATGAGCATAATTCTAGTTGTGTCATGGAACAACAATTAATTTTTTTTAATAATGATAAAGATTTAAAATTGAAACATGAAATAAGTCTACCTAATATGCTTCAATCTTACAACAATTACTAATACAAACGATAATTAAAACACTAAATAAAAATTAATAAACGATAATTAAAATACAACATTACAACAATTACTAATACTAATAATATTCATCATCATTTGGTTGACTTTGATAGTGGATTTCGCGGTGGAATTAAATTTACGCTTCTCGGGGGGCATTAACTACCATCTCGACGATAACTAGCGATGCATCAACTACTGACGGTGCAACAAGTGACAGTGCATCATCCTGACCCCTCATTATCTTCCTGATATACACTAGTATCCTCGATGTTGTTGCTGTTGGCGCCGCCGTCTGTGTCGCAGTCTCTGCCATCGTCGTCTTTGTCGCGGGTGTGTTTGCCACCACCCCTCTGTCTTCATCGACCGACCGTCACCTAAGGGAGCTGGAGAATGTGGCAGCAATGATGGTGGAGACAACAGTGGGGAGGGCACGACATCCGGTGAAGGGGTGATCGCTGTCGTAGGTGTACTGCCTAAGGGAGATGGGAATTGTGGCGACAACAGCTAGGTGGGCAAGTCATCCTCCAACTATGGTTCTTCCATGTCATCCACCATCCATGGAGGACGTGCCCAACTAGGAGGTGTAACACAAAAAAATTAATAAAATGCACACAATAGTAGACCTGGGGTCTTACCAAGCAACGATCCACTCAGCGGATTCCTGCCAAGCCACGCATCCATGTAAAGATTGACCTTTGCATCTTCAACTAGGTTCCTCTCCTTCTTTGGTCCCTTTTTTGGGAAGTCAACTTCGACGTTGTGAAGTAGAGGGATCAAGGCCAGGTCTACATCCTCAAAACCAAACTGATAATGGCATATGTCCGGTGTGTGAGGGGTGACGTCTAAGAAGTTAATGCAAAGTGTCCTCGGGCATGCTCTACCAAGCTGACCAGCATAGGGCTATAGAGTGAGCCTTTGGTAGGGATGCTGCATGAACTACAGTAAAAAAAAAAAGAAAAAAAAAGAGAAAATAATGCACAATCATGTCTAAAAGGTTAAAAAAAGGTTAAAAATACTTACGTCAACTTTGGCCAGGGTTACCGTTGGTATAGCTTGGACTATTTCGAACTGTGTTCCCTCATAATACCTTGTGTAGGACGTGAGACCACCCCATCAATGACAACTCCGTCGGAAGCTCAATGTCTTCTATAAACTCTTGATGGAGGAGTCGTATATGCTCTGTGGCAAATACAGAGAATGCACGTTATATAAAAAATATTAACCAAGTCAAACAAAATATATAAAATCTATTTATAACTCTTACCAATAGAGCATATGATAGCGTTCATTTTCCATCTTGACAATTCGTCATGCATGTTGGCTTACGCAGCTATGCCCCATAAATACTCACCAATCGCGTTCATGTCATTCATGAGGGATGAATAATGACAAAGCATTATACGCATATTCGTATTGAGTATTATATAAGCCCAGACAACGTGTAGAAAGTAGGCCCTAAGATATTGTTCCCAATGAGGATCACCTCACCTACCTGTAACTGGAGAAGGTTTTCCTACGCCAATCTAACTGTAAAGGTATTTTGGTCAGGTTGCCTCTCAAAAGCACCATCAAATAGTTTCACATGCTTTCTCATTCTACCCAATACAGGCTTGCCATTTGCTTACAAACATAATATTATATGATCCTCCACTAAGTTGAAGTAGCATGAATGCCCATTAGATATAAAACAAGCTGGACCGGCATTATAGGATCAACTCAAGCTGTTTAATACCCACCCTTAAGTACTGACATTAACTTAAAAATCCGAACCCTACACGTTTCAAAAAAGGTCTGCAAAGGTGGGGTTATGATCAAGTTGTTTACCATATTCCTATCCACCCTAAAATTAACTTAAAATCCGAACCCCACACGGTTCAAAAAAGGTCTGCAAAGGTGGGGTTATGGGCCACTTGTTCGGGTTCAGGTTGTTCATCGGTTCTACAATAGCCTGCAAATTTTTTTTTTTAAATAAATAACTTACACAAATTGGAGAACAAACATCCATAAGGGTGACAACCTAGGCACTTAAGGACCCATCAATGTAGGCTAGCAACAACTGTGGTGAAAGTGTGTGTATCACAGCTCAATCAATATGCATCATGCTACAGATACAATAACGATCTTAAAGTTGAAAACCTATGCACTCAAGCAACCATCAATGTAGGCATAGTGTAAGTGTATGTATAACAGCTCAATCAATCACACATGTTACAGATATAGTAACGATCATAAAGGTGATAACTTAGACACTCAAGTAAATAACAAACACAAAATCACTCGAAAAAACAGAAATTGCGTTGTCCCAGATATTGCATCCAAAAATCTCCCCAACAAACAGAAATTGCACACCGAAATCAACAAACCAAATGAACCACAGAAAACAAAAAATTTGCACCATAAGCCTGAAACCACAAGAGAGAGAGAGAGAGAGAGAGAGAGAGAGAGAGAGAGAGAGAAGGCATACCAAAAAACTGCACATACGGAGCGACGAAGAGAAAGGGAGACTAGGTGGCTGGCTGGCTGCGTGAACGAGAGAGAGGCGATGGAGACTCAGAGAGTGAGCGAGCGAGCGAGGAAGGTAGGGTGGCTGCATGTCCGAATCGAATGAATTAGGTTTAGGATGCGCACCTTTATATATGTAAATAATTGAATTAGGGTGCATATGTGCACGTGTTCGAAAATAAAAGGATGCGAAGCAGAAGCGCCTTGTAGGGCTACTTTGTTCTAAAATGGTAGATTTTGTCAAGATTTTTGCATTGAAGTGAAATAAAGAGGGTAGGAAGACAGCGGGGTTGAAGAGAGTTCAGCTTTATAGGAAACATGCAAATTTGAATACGGAAACATAATATCTCGTTAATATATGTTAAGCTTAATTACTCATCAACCAGTTTGCATCTGAAAATAGGGGGCTGGAAGGAGAACACATACTGCACCTCCTAGTTACCTACACTGCATCCATGAGAAATTTGAGACAGAATGAACTTGCTGGAGTCATATTTGGTTGCACGAACATCACGATCAAAGAATGTCTATCTGAACATCTGCCTACCAGAAGCTTAATCTAGAGCACGGTCTGTAGTTCATCCATGAGAAATTTGAGGAAGAATGAACTTGCTGGAGTCATATTTGGTTGCACAAACATTACAATCAACAAAATTTAGCAGATAATATGGGTGGGTGTCAACAAAATTTGACCATTAGAGGCTGATGTCGACAAATTTTACTATAATATGGGTGTTTTACATCTCATATGCATATGATTTTTAAAGCATGAGAAATTATAAGTGCAATTACTACATTAATATAGTAATCGGACCAACAATTCCTCATTAAAAATTTGAGAAATTGACACCAACAAGCTTCGAAATCTTGCAGCATGACGTAAAAGATGCAATTGATTGAGCTGTGATACACACACTGTCACCATAGTTGTTGCTAGCCTACATTGATGGGTCATTCAGTACCTAGGTTGTTACTTTTATGAGTGCGTGCCTCCAATTTGTGTCTGTTATGCATTTATTTATGTTGTAAATAGCGGGTATGTTTGCCCACATGTGTATAGTAAAGACTCATATGCTAAATAGTAACCTTTTTGTAAGTTTCTTTTGAAGTGTCTCTATAAATAGAGCACTTCGATTGTTCAAAGTTGACGAACACCAAAAAGAGAAAGGAAAAAAATATACTACTTTCAGTATCTCGTATTTTCACACTTGCAATAATTTTGTGGTAGTATTAAAAAACTAAACATAGTAATATTTGCACCCGCTTCTCCCTCGCTCTTAGCAAAGGTTATTTCTCTAACTTTTGCTTATTTATAACACGTTATCAGCACGAGTCTCTAACCATTTCTCATTTCTCTTTGCCGAAAGAAAAGCAAAAAAAAAAAAAAGAAATGTTTCCTCTAAGAATTTTACTATTCGTCTTCTTCCTTTGCCTCAACTATTGGATATACCCTCGTGAAGAACTGTTTGCACCATGCTTGCCTCGTGAAGAACTGTTTGCACCATGCTTGCTTTCAGTTCTTAACATAACAATTACTTATATCTTTGATTTCTTGTTTGGTGTAGCTATTGACTACTAACCCAGTGTTTATTTATGCAATCAAAGATGGTGCGGTATCATCACCTATCTTGGACTGCAAATTTGATTTTACTGCAAATTTTAGGTGGAGCGGTATAATCGCCCATCTTATCCTGCATATTTAAATTTTATTGCAATTTTAGGCGGTGTGGAATAATCACCCACCCTGCTCTGCATATTTAATTTTATTGCAATTTTAGGTGATGTGGAATAATCACCCATCCTGTTCTGCATATTTAAATTTTATCGCAATTTTAGGTGGTGCAGTATAATCGTCCACCCTGCTCTGTATATTTAAATTCTCCTGCTATTTAAAGTGGTGCGGAATAATCGCCCATCCTATGCTTGTTCCGATGAGAATGATGTGGTACAATCGTCCTTCTCATTAATCATGTAAATCTCGAGCCTGAAGTTTCGAGTACTTATCATTTTGGCTTGAAGATCAAAGAAAAATTTGTAAGAACCAGAAGTTCTAATAAAATATTCCTCCAGAATACATATTATTGCAAGTTCTTACACACCTCAATTTTCTTTTAGAAAAGAAAATGGCGAACTTGGCAAAGCTTAATTTTGTTGCCCTGGATATTACTGGAAATAACTACCTTACCTGGGTAATGGATGCCAAGATCCATCTGGAGGCAAGAAATCTTGGGGAAACCATTAATGAGGATAACAATACATCTTCTCAAGATCGGGCGAAGGCTATGATCTTTATCTGTCGCCACCTTGATGAGGGATTGAAGAGCGAGTACCTCACGGTTAAAGATCCACAAACCCTCTGGAAGGCACTGAAAAATAGCTACAATCACCAGAATACAGTGATTTTTTCAAGGGCTCGATATGAGTGGATTCACCTAAGGATCTAGGATTTCAAGACGATGGATGAGTACAATTTTGCTATGTTTAGAATTACTTCCCAGTTGAAGCTCTGTGGAGAAACGATCACTGAGGAGGATATGCTGGAAAAGATTTTTAGCACTTTTCATGCCTCCAACGTGCTCCTGCAACAGCAGTATAGAGAAAGAGGCTTTACTGAGTACAACCAGTTGATATTTGTACTCTTCGTGGCTGAACAAAACAATGAGCTTCTGATGAAGAATCATCAGTCCCGGCCTACTTGATTTGCACCATTCCCAGAAGTGAATGTTGCTTCCCTTGAAGGGAATACCACATCCTCTCGTGGCAATAATTACAAACGAGGACATGGCCACAAGTGAGGCCGGTGGAATGAGAAAGGCAAGAACCATGGTGTCCAGGTTCCAAGGCATAATACAGGCCTGAGCTTTAAGAGTGCAAATCGCCAGAAAGGCAAAGCTCATATGAACACTCCTAAAAATCCTGAAGAAGTTTGCCATAGGTGTGGTGGCAATGGGCACTGGGCATGTACCTGTCGTAACACAAAACATCTAGTGGATCTGTATCAAGTCTCCCTCAAGGAGAAGGGTGTCGAGACCAATTTCCTAGACCAGGCTAAACCAATTGATATACCTGATCCAGTGACTGATTTATCAGGACATTTGAACACAACCCACCTGGATGTTTCGGACTTTATCATTGAAAGAGGGAATGAGGTTTATGGGTCCAATTGAATCATTTATGTACTCTTGTTATTTGTATTTATGGTTTAATGCTCACATTTTCAATTCAATAAAAGCAGTATTCCAGTATGAATAAACTGCTTTTAACTGTAATTTCCATTACTCAGAGAGCATGGATAAAAATTATGGTTGTTTTCAAAACAAGAGCAATGGCGGATACCTTTGTCTTGTAGACAGCGCAACCACGTATTCAATACTTTGAGATTGAAAGTATCTCTCGAACTTGGTACTTGCAAAAGTAAATGTAATAACAATATTAGGGCCATCAGATGTAATTGAAGGCTCAGGAAAAGCCCAGATCATTTTACAAAATGGAACAATATTGTCCATACAGAATGCGTTGTACGCTACTCGATCCACTCGAAATTTGTTGAGTTTTAAAGACATACGTCTAAATAGATAACACATTGAAACAAAAAGTGCAGAAAATGTGGAATATCTATGCATTACCTCCAATGATACCCATAAGCGTATATTTGAGAAGTTGCATGGTTTATCAAGTGGATTGTATTATACATACTTAAAGACAATTGAGGCATATACTGTCATGAACCAAAAGTTCATGAACTCAAAAGTTTATATGCTTTGGCATCACCATCTAGGTCATCCAGGATCCACCATTATGCGTAGGATCATTACCAATTCTAATGGACATCCATTATTGAACAGACACATTGCTGTCTTAAATGATAACCCTTGCAAGGCTTGTTCCCAAGGGAAGTTGATAATTAGACCATCATAACTAAAGGTTGATACTGAATCCCCATCATTTTTGCAAAGGATCCAAGGGGATATTTGTCGGCCTATTCAACCACCTTGTGGACCATTTCGATATTTTATGATTTTGGTTAATGCACCTACCCGATGGTCACATGTTTGCCTGTTGTCTACTCGAAATGTAGCTTTTGCGAGACTTTTTGCTCAAATAATTAAGTTGCGAGTACAGTTTCCAGATCATCCCATTAAGTCAATTCGACTTGATAACGCTGGTGAATTTACGTCTCAAACCTTTGATGATTACTATATGGCACTGGGCATTGATGTTGAACATCCTGTTTCTCATGTCCATATTCAAAATGGTTTAGCAGAGACATTTATCAAGCGGTTTCAATTAACAACCCACACTCTGCTCATGAAAACAAAATTGCCAGTATTTGCATGGGGACATGCCATATTACATGCTACATCATTGGTTAGATTGAGACCCATAGCCAACCACCAATATTCATCAATACAACTCATGTTTGGGCATCAGCCAAACATTTCACATTTACGAGTTTTTGGTTGTGCTGTTTATGTGCCTGCTGCATCGCCACAACGCACTAAAATGGGACCTCACTACAGACTAAGAATTTATGTGGGTTTTGATTCACCATCTATCATTAGATATTTGGAACCCTTGACAAGTGATATGTTTACAGTTCATTTTGCTGATTGCCACTTTGATGAGACAGTCTTCCCGTCGTTAGCGGGAGAAAAAATCATTCCAGAAGAACGGCAAGAGCTGACATGGGTTGTTCCCACCTTGTCTCATTTTGATCCTTGAAGCATGCAATGTGAAAATGAAGTGAAAATGATCATTCACCTTCAAAATATTGCTAACCAAATGCCAGATGCATTTAATGATGCTTCGAAAGTGACAAAGTCACATATACCAGCTGCAAATGCACCTGCAAAAATTAATGTCCCTGTTGGACAAAATAAAATGGCAGCGAATGATTCATCTAGTGCACGCCTAAAGTGTGGTAGACCCCCAGGTTCAAGAGATTCAGCCCCTCGAAAGAGAAAGATGAGGGTACAGTTGAACCTAAGCGAAATCATTCAGGAAAAGAAAATGAATGATAAATCCACAATTCATGATTTTGTACTTCCAAAAAAAGAAAGTGTCCTTGATGAGACACATATCCCTGAAGAGACAGAAGTACATGAAAGCAAAGAAATATCCATAAATTATGCATGTACTAATGAATTGTGGGATCGAAATAAGCAAATAAATTTTGCATTTGCAATAGCCATTGAAATTATATTAAGCGATGACATTGAGCCCCGCTCTATTGATGAATGCAAACAGAGACATGATTGACCTAAGTGGAAAGATGCAATCTAGGCAGAACAAATTCTTTGGAAAGGCGAAGTGTTTTTGGACCAGTAGTCCAAACCCTGCCTGGTGTAAACCCCGTGAGTTACAAATGGGTATTCAAAAGGAAACGCAACGAGAAAAAAGAGATTGCAAGATACAAAGCAAGACTCATTGCACAAGGTTTTTCACAAAGACCTGAAATTGATTATAAAGAGACATATTCTCCTGTAATGGACGCAATTACGTTCCGTTACTTAATAAGTTTGGTAGTTTCAAAAAAACTTGACATGCGACTTATGGATGTCATCACCGCGTATCTATATGGAGAATTAGATATTGACATATATATGAAAGTCCCAGAAGGACTTCAGTTGCCTGAAGCAACTAACAAACCACGAGGTATGTTCTCAATTAAATTAAGGCGATCATTATATGGGCTGAAACAATCTGGACGAATGTGGTACAATCATCTGAGTGAGTATTTGATTAAAAAAAGATATGCCAACAATGTCATCTGCCCTTGTGTATTCATTAAGAAATCAAATACTGGATTTGCTATAGTGGCAGTATATGTCGATGATATGAATTTAGTTGGAACCCCTGAAGAGCTTAATAAAATTGCTGAATATCTGAAAAGCGAATTTGAAATGAAAGACCTTGGAAAAAAAAATATTGTCTCAGCCTACAGATCAAGCATTGTGTTAATGGAATTTTGGTTCATCAATCAGCTTACATTGAAAAAATACTGAAGCGATTTGGCATGGACAAGGCTTATCCACTTAGCACCCTAATGGTCGTTCATTCTTTGGACATTAAGAAAGATCCATTCCGTCCAAAAGAAGATGATGAACTGGTCCTTGGTCCAGAAGTACCATATTTGAGTGCAATAGGTGCTTTATTGTATTTAGCACAATGTACTAGACCAAATATAGCTTATTCAGTCAACTTGTTAGTAAGATATAGCTTTGCTCCAACAATTCGTCACTGGAAGGGAGTCAAAGATGTTCTACGATACCTTCGTGGGACAGCAGACATGGGTCTCTTCTACTTAGATAAGTCCACAAATGACCAGATCCTTGTTGGATATGCAGACGCTGGTTTCCTCTCTGATTCGCACAAAGCTCGCTCACAAACTCGATATATGTTCAATAATGGAGAGACTACAATTTCATGGCGCTTAACAAAGTAAACATTAGTTGCTACATCTTCCAATCACTCGGAAATAATTACTTTGCATGAAGCAAGTCGTGAATGTTCTTGGTTAAGATCAATGATTCATCACATCAGGAATTTATGTGGTCTACCTTAAAAAATAGACACTCCAACTGTCATCCATGAAGATAATGCAGCCTGTATTACCCAAATGAAGGAAGGATTCATCAAGGGTAATAAGACTAAACACATATATCTCCAAGATTTTTCAGTGCACATGAGCTTTATAAGGCTAAAGTTATTAAAGTCAGACAAATCCATTCCAATGAAAATTTGGCAGACTTATTCACCAAGTCTCTACCAAAGTGCACATTTCAGAAGTTAGTGCAGGGAATCAGATTACATTGAATTACCAATTTGAAGAATGCGGAATCAGGGAGAGATACAATTCAAGGGGAGCATTTATGACACATGCATGTTGTACTCTTTTTCCTTCGATTAGGATTTTTTTCCACTGGGTTTTTTTTCCTATCAAGGTTTTAACGAGGCAACGTAAGCATGCTTAACACTATATCAACAATCCGGGTAAAGTTGTACTCTTTTTCCTTCATTGTGGTTTTTTCCCACTGGTTTTTCCAAGCAAGGTTTTAAAGAGGTAACTGATATTGATATGTGGGCATCCAAGGGGGAGTGTTGTAAATAGTGGGTATGTTTGCCCACATGTGTATAGTAAAGACTCATATGCTAAATAGTAACCCTTGTGTAAGTTTCCTTTGAAGTGGCTCTATAAATAGAGCACTTTGATTGTTCAAAGTTGACGAACACCAAAAAGAGAAAGGAAAGAAATGTACTACTTTCAGTATCTCTTATTTTCACACTTGCAATAATTTTGTGGTAGTATTAAAAAAACTAAACAGTGTAATATTTGCACCCGCTTCACCATCGCTCTTAGCAAAGGTTATTTCTCTAACTTTTGCCTATTTATAACAATTTATTTATTTTTATTATTTTTTAATAGGCTATTTTAGAGTTGATGAACAATCTGAACTCAAACAAGTGGCCCATAACCTAACCCTTGTAGGCCTTTTCAAATCCTGTACAGTTAGGATTTTTTAGTCAGTTTCAGTATGATTTGAGGGTAGATAGGACTATTGCAAACAACTTTATTGGGATCAAGCCTATTTTATATTTAATGGGCATTCTTGCTACTGTTGCAAAGACTCTCTAGGGCTATTGCAAACAACTTTATTGGGATTAGGCCTTTTTTAACTTTACCGTTACAAAGGCCCTC